TTTTAATATTAATAAAAGGATGGATATAATAGTCTTTTTATAAAATTTTTTTTTTTTCAACTTTCATTTCTTTAGCTTTTCCTCCAAATTGAGATATTAAAAAAATGAGGATTACAAGAAAAACCAAAAGTTATTGAATTTTCACGTATTTCCTTTTCTTTAAGTTAAAAATTTATTCAAACAAAGGAAAATTTTTTCTATTTCCTTTACTTTCCTTTATTTTTCTTTCATTTCCTTCCCTTCCTCTTAATACAAACATAGTGTTAGTCAAATTTAGAATGTTCTCTAAAGATAAATTAAATCAAATGACTAATCATATCCAAATAAAAAAAAATGGTAATTTTTAAAAATTATATTTAATTTCTTTTCCTTAGCTTTTCTTTCAAATTGAGGTGTTAAAAGAAATAAGGATTACACAGAAAACTAAAAGTTATTGAATTTTCACCTATTTCCTTTCCTTTAAGTTAAAAATTTATCCAAACAAAAAAAAAAATTTCTATTTCCTTTACTTTCCTTTATTTTTCTTTCCTTTCCTTCTCTTTCTCTCAATCCAAACATAGTGTTAGTCAAATTTAAAATGTTCTCAAAATGATAAATTAACTTAAATGACTAATCATGTCTAAATAAAAAAAATTAATGATAATTTTTAAAAATTATATTTAACGATATGTTTACGAATATATGGACAATTCTTAAACAATTTTAAAATCACATTCATTTACGCCGACTTAATGCATTTAGGATTTTATTTTCGGACCATTTCTTACGATCATCAAAATTGATAAAATTTCAATTTTCATCTTTCCAAGTTAATAAAGATTATTTATTATTTTCCCATGAAGAGATTTATTGGTCAGTTTTGAAGATATACACTTTCTGTTTGTAACTAGGCTGCAAATGGAAAATTTTTCCACTACAAAAAACCAGCAAAAGCATCCATAATCCTGGGCTGTGCACAATGATATTGTTAATTTTTAAGGGGAAAGAATTGATTCCCAGGCATCATAAAGGGTTCCATTTGTTCTTATTATTATTATTATTATTGGGTTGGTGCACTATCCCCATTCCCTTAATTAATTAATTGTCCATCATATATTACTAGGTTCTTTAGCCCTTTTGAAAGACTTTCATTGGCGATTAAACTACATTATAGGAGAAAGCAGCAGATTACAAATACTGCAGCCCCTAACATTGACAAATACTTTTCAGTTGCTGCAGCAATTATATGATATTCTAATGTTTCAGGTTCTTGTTATTGTCGTCATTTAACCCAATCAAGCTGCGGATTTTGAACTGAACAGAAAAAAGAAGAAAAATTTTATCGTTTGCATCTTGAGTGGTCACAAGAATTGGTCGTAGAATATCGACAGAAAAAAAAAGGGAATTGGTCCAAAATGGTGAACGTACAGCTGCTGGCAAATGTACATTTAAGGAACCAACACACGTGACATGACCAGCCAATCCCGTCAGAAGAAACGCAACAGGGGAAGAACATTTTATTTGGATGTGTAAGAAAAATGGTACCAAACAGGGAATCTTTTTTTCCTCTGAATTGTCAACGTAAATACGTCTACGGCTTCTGCTTCTGTATAATGTGTTTGACAATCAATCCAAAAACAAAAATGATTTATGCCCTGTTTTAATCTCAATTTGGGTCATTGTCTAACAGCTTGAGGATCTCAGTAAGGTAATAGTGAATTATGTGTTTGCAGGGACCAATATAATTGATCAGCCTAGATCAATGATACTACTCCACAGGAATTGGTACGTTCTGCATGAAAAATGGCAGGTTTCAAGCTTTTTTAACATCATTTCGTTGTTTTGAAGCGAAAAAAAAAGGAACAAAATGGGCTCCCCTCACATGGGATATATCATGAAAAATTTGCTTCTTTGAGATGCCGATTCAAGCCTGCAAACCTTGACTAGTAAGCCTCATGCCCTGTTCAGCGTTCACCTCCTTCATCCAATAAAAAGAGGTGTCATAAAGGAGAATTGTGGAAAGAAACAGTACTTTCCTTTCAAAAGGAGTGAAAAAGAGAGAGAGAAAAGAAAATGAGGCAATTGCGGAATCATTAAACAGTGATTACAAAGAGTTTTTAGAGCCCTACAATTGAAACATACGTTAGAATTTTATTAGTTTTATGTGAAATATATTGCTTAGTGGAGCACATCATCTTTGTTCATTTATTAAATTATCCCAAATTATGATTCACTTTCAAGATTAATTTAATAATGGCAACCCTTTTTTCCTTTTAAAAAGATGAAAGTTTCTACACCCACCATGGCTTTCTGCTCCAATGGTGCGTAGCTGCTTCATCCCCATAAACTAGGGCATATTCATGGAACTTTTTATCAAAAATCATTTAAATCTTTTAACTGATCTTTTTCTCCCTTTGGTTTAAAAAGGGTGTTGACTTAAACCGTGGCCTGGAATCGAATCCAATGCTTTGATTTTTAAAAATTTTGCAGTACCTTTGATGCTTCTATGTGCAAGAAAAGAAACCAATAAAATTGATTAATGTTGGATGAATTATGAGCCCTAGCTTGACTTTATGGTTTATGCCCTATGAGAGAGGTTCAATTTCTAGTCTTAGCAATCAATGATTCTTGTGATCTTGCTTCTTAGTACTATGGCACATGAAACATGCATTATTCATTAAAAGGAAAAAGGTTTCGGTAAATCATGCAAAACATATAAATTGCATATGATTTTAATTCTAAAATCCTTGTTCATCAGCTTAACTGCTCATTTCATTTTTTTTTTAATATGAAATTATCAGAAATTAAATTCTAAAACTAAAAATTTAATATTCTATATCATAAGACTGTCTACTTAACTTTTCATTTCTTATATATAACATAAACACTTCACATATTTTCGTATGTACACTAACATTGTCTGTATCAATTTTAACTTTCAAGTTGCTATCTATCTATATATATATATATATATATATATATATATATAGAGAGAGAGAGAGAGAGAGAGAGAGAGAGAGAGAGAGAGAATAGGTGGATTAACATTGATGTGTAAAGCTTAATTACTACTATAACATTGATTATCTATACGTAGGGTAAAATGGTAGATTAACTTTCTAAAGGTGGCAAACTCTCCTCTTGAAACGTACGTAAGAGGTTGAGTTTTTTAAACAAAATTTTATATGTAAGAATATTAAGCATAATTATTTTAAATTTTTTTGCACAAATAATTTGATTGTCTTAATTATGCTTATATTAAAAGTTTTCTAATTTAAATATTATTCTCACGATTTTATAATTTCTTGTGTCTTTCATATTAAGAGTGATTCGCTATAAATATGGTATGTAATTTTAATTTTTCTTTGCACTTATTTATTACATTTCTGAAAATAAGACTTTAATGGGAATCTTTAGTTCTTCACAGAAGGTACATATTTGGGTATATTGTAAAGATTAAAAGATATATGAAACAACTTAGGACCACCTGCCTTCTTGTTAGGCTAGTCTTTGATATTTTTTTGTCCTAGCTGTCGCTATCATTATTAGATGAATCTCCAGTGAGATATCTGTGTCCCACAATGCTTGGCGTGGAGATGGATTTAATATTGGAAAACAGGTCACAAGGTTCTGGCCCCCCTACCTGCGCAATTTGTCCAAGGCAAGATCCTTCTGTAATAAGTTGGGGGGATTCATTCGTGTGTCCATTAACTCTCCCTCGTATCTTTATCAGAATATGGGAAAAAAGCTAAAATATTAAAAAAAATTCAATTATTTAATTTTATTTAAATAAATTTTTATATTTTTAGTGTATTCAAATAAATTTTTATACTTTCATTTGTATTTATATAAAATTTTATTTCAAATAAAAAATTAATTTATATTAAAAATTTATTTAAATACAAATAAAATATAAAAATTTATTTTAATAAAGTGATAAAATTTAATGATTGTTTTATTATTTTAGCCAAAGAAAAACGAAGACAAGTTGACAAATCTTGACAAATTGATGCTGGGAAGAATCTTATTTCTGCACTAATTAAAAGTTATATAACATTTTTAATAAGAGGATCATGTGGTTAGATTAATTAGATTAACAATTTTTATATATTTTGAACACATTAAATAAGCTCATAAACTTCATCAAACATTTTATAGAATTAAGATTGGTAATCTAATTTGCACTCGATAGATTCCAATTCGATTTGATCTTATAAGATCGATTTTTTTTTTTGAAATTTTAGTTTCAAATTAGATATTTTTAAAGAAAAATTGAGGTTAGATTTTATACAAATCTGACTTGTTTTATGTATTATTTTTTATTTAATTTTATATTTATATATTTATATTATTTAATTTTATATGTATATTTAAAAATAATATTTTATATTAAAAATAATATTAAATAATATTTTATATTAAAAAAATATTTTATATTTAAAAATTAATATTTTATTAATTTTGAATCAGATCAAATTGATTACAAATTTAAACGTATATGAATCAGGTCAGATTTAAACATAAAAAATAATATTTTAATATTAATCGAATCATATATGAATATTAAGTTTATAAAATTAGATCAAATTTGAAACAAGAAAAATCTATCCCCCGATCCGTTGTCATCATATACAGAATATGCTACTATTAAATAAAAAAGACTACAAATCCAGGTCGGCCTAGGATTTCAACAATTATAATGAACATATATATAAAGCCGCTGAATAAAAGCCATAGAAACAAAGTAATGAGTTTTGACTATAGACATAGCAGTCTTTTCCTTTATTTTCTATGTCTGAAATGTACTAATTCAATTTTCTAGATTTATAAGCTATTAGTGACAGACAAGTAGCTGGTTTTTATTTCTTTAAACCATGATTTGCCGACTAAGAATGTGATTGACTGATTAAAGTGTTCCTGGTGAACTATTACAAAAAAAAAAAAATTGTCTAGCTATCTTTGCCTGTCTAGAAGAGACATTTGAAATAAACAAAATGGGATGCCCTTGTTTGAAAAGTTCTTGTAGAAGTCTTTGATACCTTCAATGGCTCCCAGGTACTAGCGGATTGCTCTTAACATTGAATTGGTCTGGTTTTCAATAAAATAATAAACAACTGATAGATTATATATGGTGCAACGAAGCCAAAGGATTGAGTCCAGAGCAATTTAGTAACTAGTTCTGAACTCCGATTTGGCCTAGTTTCTGAGAGCTGCAATGGCTAACACGCCTTCAATTACTGAAGAGCTCTCCCCTAAACTTTCGCCAGTGAAAATCTCTACTATGGAAGAGGTCTCCCCTAAACTTCCACTGCCTACAAAATACTCCATTATGGAAGAGGTAAAAGCTAATCGTTCACGAGGATTTTCCATTAACAATGACATCCCTCCAACAACCTTGCAAAAGGTAAAGATTACTTGTGTTTTTTATTAGTCACGTATTCCATCATGATACATGACAAATATTGCTCTCTGTGCTAAATGAACTATGCATTTTTTGGACAGACTGTTGCAGAGCTTGTAGGAACATACTTTCTTATCTTTGCAGGTTGCGGGGCAGCTCTTGTAAACAAAGTTCAAACACTGACTATTGTTGGAATAGCATTAGTCTGGGGCCTAGTTCTGATGGCAGCAATTTACGCACTCGGGCATATCTCTGGTGCCCATTTCAATCCTGCTGTCACACTAGCCTTGGCTACAGCTCGCAAATTTTCATGGAAACTTGTAAGGAATGATTAGAAACATTTTACCATTTAGTCACTTCTCTTTAGTTGAGTTCTTGTATTAAAACCTGTCTTGTGTCTCGGTCAAGGTACCTATGTATCTGTTGTCTCAATTGCTGGGAGCAACTCTTGCTAGTCTCACCCTCCGGGGATTGTTTCGTGATCAAGGTGACATCCAAGCAACAATGACCCAGTACACAGATTCAACTAGTGATCTTGAAGCCATTATATGGGAATTCATAATCACTTTCCTATTGATGTTCAACATTTGTGCTGTTGCTACTGATCACAGAGCGGTATGGTGATTAAGTTATATAGTAGTTGCTTTTCCCTGCCAATATTTATTATATTCCAGATCTGCTTTCCATTACTATTTTGGAAAGACGCAAGATTGAACAAGAGCCTCTCTTTTTCCTTTTTGATCTGTTTTGAATAAAATTTTGAGTCCAAGAAGGGAAAATGAAGCTGAAGGGACCAGTAAAGTTTAGTCAATTGTTGTTTATCCAAAAAAAAAAAACAGTTTAGTCAATTGTTTGTTTTCCAGGAAAATTATTACACGGCCTAACATCTTATACGTACAAATATTAATCATAGTGACTCTGAATCTTTGATTGACCAAAACAGACCAAAGATCTCGCTGGAGTTGCAATAGGTGCTACAGTGCTGTTTAATATCATTATAGCTGGGTAAATGAACTTTCCAAAACCATCTCAATCATTTTTGTACTTCAGTATTGCTCAAGTATACTCGTATGCTCAACTTTTTTTTTATCATACCACATCTCATAAAAATTTTGAACTCCTTGTATTTGGCAGGCCAATCACTGGAGCTTCCATGAACCCTGCTAGAAGTTTAGGCCCTGCTGTTGTTTCCGGTGTTTACAAAAACCTTTGGGTGTTTATTGTAGCTCCAATTCTTGGAGCAATGACTGCAACTTTGGTGTACAGTATTCTTCGAGTACCTAAACCATATAAGCCTGAGGAGAGCACCGAAAGCATGTATAATGAACTTTACATTCACCCTGAAGTCTGATCCATAGTTATCCTATTGTCATAGATGGAGAGTTCATCATTGGATTTTTTTCCTTTGATGCCTGACAGCAATGTTAAAATAGTTTTATCGAGAGCGCTCAGTCAATTTGGCTTGCTGATTAATGCTTTTGTTTCTAAGAACTTCAAAAACCAAAAAGGAAAAAGAAACAATCAGAGAAATGTGGCATATATAAGGTCACAATAATTCAAAAGGAAGCATTCTGCTGTCGTTTTTAAAACCAATAGCTGTGATGTGGTAAACGCTGGAAAAACAAATAGATAGCACAAACATGAATTACAATAAAGTAACTTCCTAATCAATTAAAAGTAACTACACAAACATGGTTTTATTAGAGGACTACACATTTCTACCATGACTCTCATCCCTTTCTTAAAAGAAGACAAAATACTATACAGCAGCACTATGCATATAACAGGGGAAAAAAAATAGCAGATCAGCTGCCATATCGATTTTAAATTTCATACACATAGGAGGTCAACTGCTGATCAAGTTAGATTGGTGACAACAGATGGGGTAGATAACAATGCATGTTATCATCACGTCCGCCTACAAGACCGAGCATTCTGAAACTGGATTCCAGCCTTGCGGGTGTACCTTTTTACCTGTAAATAAGACAAAAATTGAGACTTTGAGATTTAAATTAATCATATTGTGGAAGTAGTCATGGTTAGGCTTCAATAATACTTATTGTTGATCAGTTTGATACATCTAAAATATTTAGAAATCCTAGAGAGCAAGTTTAATATGTGAGCAGCGGTACTATTCCTTATTAGTAAGATATATTTTCAAACGAAGCATCTTCAGCCATTATGCAGAAGGAGCTCGTATCCAAATTTCTTTATGACACCAATCACACTATAACCTTAAATGGCAGCTGTGTGCAGAAAATGAGAAAAATACAGGACAATCTATGGAAAAATGATTCAAATGCTCTTACCCAGTTTGAGATAAACGCCTCCAATTTACTATTTGGTGGGACTGTGGATGCCTCTGCAAATAAGATGAGCTCGCACCAATACCATTTTCATCACCTATGAACTGCTCTGAAAAACTAGAAGCTGGAGGAGACCAAACTGGAACAACTCCTCCATCCCTCTCTCTCCTACTGCCACTACTAGAAGATTCTGCTGTTGAATCCTCGGCATTTCCCACCCCCATAATGAAATTAAATTGTGGAAAAGTGTTGTTGTTAAGTGCTGTTTGCAGAATTCCTTCGTTTAATGTGTCTCTTAGTGGTTCTTGATTTATATTTACATTTCTTGGAACTTCTGCTCTGCTATGTTCTGTTGAAGTTCTAAGATCCAAAGATCGCTCTTCGAGTTCACCTCTTACCAAAGAAGAAGTCATGCTAGGAACCATCTGATCCTCGTATCTCCGAGTTGTAGCTGAAGCATTGTTCCTTGCTGGTTCAAGGTTTTCCTCCATTTGTATGTCTTGCGGAAAGGCAAATGGCGCTGATTCGGAGGAGTCTCCAAGGCCTTCCTCAGTTCCATTCTCAATTGCAGCTCTTGAAGCTGCTTCTTGCTGCCACATCTCTGAAAGTGCTTCTTGCAACCTGGCTTTCGCAGCATCTATTCCTATAATAGGCATAGGGTAATTTGATCCGAGCTCAATTCCAGCAGCTTGGAGTACAGATTCAGGAGCACTCCATGGATGGTGAATCCAATCAGTTGGTAGTCTTGCAAGTTCAGGAAGCCACCGTCGGACATATTCTCCATTTGGGTCAAATTTGTAACCCTCAAACTGTTAAAAAAAAAAAAAACTTTAACCGGATGAGGAGAAAAAAGTTTTAATAGATGAAAATGCATATACTAGATTTCAAATACTTTATAATTGCATTCTAAGACTCATGGATTTTCTTATGCTCTTGATAAACAAATACCACTTGGAAACAGGGTCTGAGGGACTAAAAAGGAGATTAAAATGTTTGCAATGCAAGCTTCAATTTCCTTCTGCAACATTACAAACTTATGCATGCAAGTATACTTGAGATTAGGAAACAGTTATGGTTATGTGGAGGTGTGGAGCTTTAATAGCCAGAAACTATTGAGGTTCAGTCAGAGGTGTCAAATACCAAAACTAAAAAGATATCATACAGAATCTTTTATACAATTTGAAAACTAGTAACATGAACTTTGATAAACTTTACCGCTGACAATACTTTTTATGGGTACAGAATTCTTGATGAAATTAACATGTCAATTGAAAGCGCCATGCAAGAAAGCTTAAATATCATACGATTTTGAAAATAGAAACATAATTATTTAATTAATTATACCATTAAAATTTGTAGAAATATGTATGTATTTTAGGGTGCATCAGAAGCCAAGTAAGAAGGACAATCTGCAAGACAGCTAAAAACAATTGCAGCCAAACCTGTGGATTATCTATGCGGTCAAACTCACGACCATCTGGGAGTGTACCAGATATATATTGCCAACCAAGAGCATCACTCTCTAAATCTGCATCCAAGAGGGTATCCCAAAAATACTTCATACCCCACCTCCATGGCAGCTGCAAAACCTTAACAAAGAAACTAGAAACTACAACTCTTATCCGGTCATGTAGCCAGCCAGTGGCCCACAACTCTCTCATGCCAGCATCCACCAGTGGATAACCAGTTCTACCTTGTCTCCATGCCTTAAAATAGCCCTCATCCACTACCCAAGGGAAAAACTTAAGATGCCCAAGAAGAGGCCTTTCATGACTGTAAGGATGGTTAAAACTCAAGTATCTTGAATATTCCCTCAGACCAATTGACTTGAGGAATAAGTTTACACTCTCCTCACCAGCCTTGTTCCCTTCATTGGCCCACACAACCTGCTTAACGCGGACATGATGAAAGACTTTTCTTACACTCACCTCCCCAAAATGCAAGTGAGGAGAGAGAAATGAGGTTGTAGCACTATCAGCCTTTCTTCTATTCTTAGAGTACTCGAGTAAAGGTCCATTAGTGAATGTGGTCAAAGCCTTATCAGCATTGCTCCACCCAGGTGACCATGCTCGTGCTAGAAGTGCATTGCTTCCCTTCTCTGATTCATCTTCAAACACCAATGGATCCGAAGCACAAGTTGACACATCACCTAAAACAGATTGACAATAAGCACGTACCGTGTAAACAAGAATATAACACATCATAATTTCAGGAAAGTAACCAGGATATAACACATTGTGATGTCAGGAAAATAAATCACAAAGAGAAAAGGCTTCAAACTGAGCCTTACTTCCAATTTTGATATTGTTGAAGTTCAATGCTATTGTAAATCAATTATGTTAGACCACTGTCATGTATCAAAATCAAATACATTAACAATAGGGAAAAAGAGGGGCACTGATTGATAATGGAGATAAATAAGTCAAGAACAGAATTCAATGGAGACCAACCTGAAATTATTCTCTTAGGTGGAAGAAGTGGAGAGTCAGGGTCATAGGGCATGCTAAGGCATTTTTCCCAGAAAGCAGCAAAAGTAGTGAAAGGGCTGCCCCGAGCATCGCTTACATCCCAGGGTTCATAAAGTAAATCTGCATTGAAAGATCGCACTGCTACACCATGGGATGTCAATACCTCCTTTGCACGATGATCTCTAACCAGAGATATAGGATCTGAAAAGCAGTAAATTTCCTCTTAAAAGTTAAACATAGAGCTTTTTCTTTGCTTTGCTACACCCTATCATGGGAAAATAAAGAACCTGACAAGCTTGTCATAGGAAATTTCAGATTTACTCAAAATATGACTACACAAATTTTGTTTACTCAGTTAAAGATGCTAATACTTAGACACTAGTTTAAAAGAAAATATGATCGTTATAGCAGGAAATGGCCAAACTTACTAGCGTCAATAAAGGGATGATTATGCAATCTCAAGGAAAGAAAAGGGAACATACTGGGAAATTTAGAATCGCATAAGGCCTATTTGTAGAACAACTGATCTCACAATTATAAGCAGTTAGAGAACAATCAATCAGCAATTAAAAAAGAATAGCCAAAAAGAAAAAGCAGCTTGGCTAGCGAATGAACAGAATCTGTCCCAGTTGATGCAAGCCTCATAAGACTCAATTATTATGTTAGAAACAGATTAACATAAGCAAAACCCCAAAGAAGTTTAAAGAGAAACGAATAAATGAAAGAAAAATAATAGCCTCCAAAACGTCAATCCACATGATCCATAAGATTCCCATGCAACCCAACATAAAAAAATAAATAAAATTTGACATCAACACAAAGAAACAGTAACAGACAAACAAATTAAGATAAAAAAATACATAGTCTTCTTTTTTTTTTTTTTTTAATTATTCAACAAAAAGAGGAAAGGAAATGAAAAGAAAAGAAAAGAAAACTAACCATACAGGTGATTGAAGAAGAGCTGAGTAGCACCAGTAGATTTAACAACATCAAGAAGAGAAGAAACACTATCAGTAGATCTCTTTGTGATGAGACAAGTACCAAGACTCCTCAAAGAAGAATCAAGATGAGCCAAACTATGCTTAAGCCACCACCTTGACACCCTTCCAGGGTAATAATGGCCTTCTTCTTCAGGTGCCCATATAAAAACTGCAACAACAGCACCTGCTCTAACACCAGCTGCAAGTGCTGGATTATCTTCAACTCTGAGATCCCTTCTGAACCAAACTATGCTACAAGCACCGCCTGACATATCTCCCAAAGCTCATCAAACTAAAACTTGCAAAACAAAACCCAATTTTTATCTTTTCTCAACCATATACCATGGCCAGGAAATTCTTGTTGTCTAATTAAAAATCTTTTCTTTCTTTTTCCAACAGGAGGACCTTGTTAGTATTTTTACTAATGGAAGAAAAAAGTGCATGTGATTCAAAGTAGGAGAAAGTGGTTTGGTACTTATCTTTTACTTATCATTTACTTATTCACCTTATTATGTTATTTTCTCCTCCTTTTTGGTTGAATTTCTATATATGAATCCTGGTCGTAGTACTCTAGAGGACCAATTGCAACCAAAAAGGACTTGGCTTGCCCCTTGGCGAGAGAGAGAAAGGGGAAGAGATGAGTTTGGA